GCACGGGCGCCGGGCGCAGACTCGCCGGGCGACCCAGGTTCCCCCGCCGTCCAGGCCCGACGGAATCGAGTCCTGGGGGCGGGGAGCGGGGGAGGCGAGGGGCGGACGGTGAACTTGGCGGTGACCACGGAGCCCAGCTGTGGCTCTGTTGCGCACGGCCCGCGCAGACGGCCTGGGGCGGGGCGCCGGCTGGTTCTGGGCCCCCCCACCCCCAGTGCAGCGCGGTCCCCCTCTCGCCCCGACCCCCGGGACCCCCCAGGTACCATCCAGCACCCGAGCTAGAGGTCCGTCACCCCCACCCCGCTGCTCCGAAACCCGGGCGATGGGAGGGGCGCCGCCCGGCCCGAAGTGGGCGCCGCGAGTGAGATCACCGCGGTTTATTTAAGGAGCCGGTCCCCGTCTTTGATAAACTATCGCGCCTCGGCCCTGGTTTATAGCTTCTGTGCGGGGAGAGGAGAATTATTTACGGCCCCCCTAACTGGGTGTGATATCAGCCATGGCTATTATCGAGGCTAGTTCATCACCATAAAATAAGAAGTGTTCCTCGGGTCAAGGGTCTGCGCGACGTCTCCCGTGGGTTCAGAGAGACGGGGACGGGGGAGGGGCGGGCGGGCAGATATACGGCTGCTGAGGATCTAAAGATAAATGGAAAGATAGGTGTTTGCGGGTATAATTTAAAGAATCGGTGGATATGCGGTGTTGGAAGCGTTACCACGGGCTCTGCGGGGACGCACGTGTGTTCTCTATGTATGCACTCCAATGTTTAGACATGCGTGTTTACATCTTGCCAAGCAAACCGCGTGTAAACACACGTTTCCTTTTCGGCCCCACAGCAGGGAAGGTTAACCAGGTAGACGTAGAGAAAATGCAACCTTGGACACGGGGAGGGGTGGGGGGCAGCGGGGCAGCTTTCCTTTGCCTCAAAGATCTTTTCTTTATGGGATTGAGGCTTTTCCACTAGCCTTTCCTTCCATTAAGACAGCCTTTGTATTGTATTTTGGTATTTGTGATTGCAAAGCACGGGGCTGAGTCATCTTAATAACATACCCGCAGATGCAAATATATGGAAATGGAATGGCACACAGATTTTGTGTGGAGCCCAGCTTTGGCAGGGTGGCCATTCCCAGTTGGTTTTTTAGTGGCGCAGCTACATGCACATATATTATAGTAATTACTTTCTGGGTCCCCTCTGTAGGATGGCAGAAATATGCTTCACATCGCCCCATGTTATGTGTGAGGCATAAAGCCATATTGTAAGATAATCAAAGCCTTCTCAGAAAGGTTTGTGCTGATTAATAAAGTGTTTATGGTACTTTGTTTTGGGGGAGATTGTGATAGATATTTTAGAGCCACCCAAATGGAATAGAAAATACCACATCGTTATTGGAGGCCCCTCATCAGCTTGAGAGAGAGATTGCTGGGGAGTTTCATGATGGCTAAAAAGCCGGAATCAAATAGGGAAACAGAAAGAAAGAAGGCGGGAGGGGGAGGGCTAGGATTTTGAAACTGACGAAAAAAAAACCAGAATTCGGAGAATTCCAGTAGCTAGTATGAATTGTTGAGGATCTAACATTAACTTGTGGTTGTTTATTTTACATATAATAGGATAGCTAAATGATGGAGTGTATTAGTTCTTTAATAATTTATAGAAATACTTTGATGTTGCAGTAATTACATTAAAGGTCACATATCAAAGGTAATTTGGTTGAGCAGCTGTGATGGTTTCTCAGAAGCAATCAATATCACTGTCCGTGGTGCTGATTTCACCAAGGGGCCTGCCAGATTAAAGAAGGCTTATTACCAGGCAGAAAGGCCCAGGGGAAATCAGGAGCACATTGGAGCAACGCGCCAGCCCCCACCCCACCCCCACCTCCACTGATAATTAACACGGTTCCCCATAATCTGCGCTAATCCTTCATACTGGGAGATCTAGTGGCGTTCTCTCCCCCCCCACCCCCAAAATCACAAAGACAGGTAGGCAAGTTTGGGAGGAAAGGTAAAAAGAGATGTGAATGTATGTTAGGAAAAGGGAGGGGTGGAGATAAAGGCCAACAGTAGTCCTGAAACATAGCCTAGAGTCCCCACGCACTGCCGGAAACACCACCCTTTCTTCAAAGGCTTCTCTGGGAGACTCATGGCCTCAAAAGCCTGCTCACACAATTCTCAGGGCAGGTACCGCTTCACAGGGGGAAGGGACAAGGAGAAAAGATAGAATTGCTGCTTCAAGTTCCGAGGGCACATTGTCCCTGCACACACTCGCAAGTAGACAAATGAAAAACAAAATGACCGAGTAAAATTATGCTTTAAAGTGGAGTCATTTTGATTCCAGAAAGCAGACCTTGACATTAGTATTGTTAGTTGGTTCTCTCCTTTGAGATCAGAGAGTGTGCTGCTAGCAAATGCAGGGATTAGGACTGAGCAAAATGCTCTCACCCAAGCAAATAATACATGTGACCCCAGCAGCAGAGGCTCTGCTCATAGCTACCTCTTTGATGGGGGGCCACAGAAGAAACCTCTTGTCTGGGATGACCACACTAGGGGCCCCAATGAGTGTACTCTGCATCTGACTAAAGAGAATAAAATTGAAAAAAGAACCTGGAAAACTGGTAACCTCAGCAATTTAGGCACTTTTCCAGACTTCAAAATCCATTAAAATCAATCCATTAAAATCTGTTCCTCACTTTCTCACTGAGGAGGGAAAAGGGGAAAGGCAGCGTAGGCAGTGTATTCTGTTTCCAAGCAAGTTACAGAGGGAGCGGAAAAAAAATAATCCCATTATTGTCACACACACACACACACACACACACACACACACGCACACGCACACGCACACGCACACGCACGCACGCATGCACGCACGCACCTCTCCACCACTATTAACAACAACAGCAGCAGCAGCAACAGAGACAAAACTAGAAATCCCCCTAACATGAGGCTTCATTTGGGGATTGGAAGAGGGAACTAACATTATCTTGGGATAAATGCAAGCTTAGTAACTGAACCACAATGACTATTTTCTTAAATCAGAGGTCCATTTCTTTGGGAATCAGCCTAATCAAGCTGTTTTGATAGCTGATTGAGTCATCTTTGGATCTGCATCACAAATGCACTATTATTTTTTAGTTTGATATGATTTTAGTAGAATGAGCTTACTAAGCCTTAAAGCCTGGTTGGGGTCATCTTGAAGATTGCCTTCTTCCAGAATTTTTCTAAACTGTCTCTCCCCCTCTCAATCTCATTTTCCCCTGGCCTCATGCAGCCTATTTGCTTCCATTCTTGACATTTGTTCCACTATTTACAGGATAAACTCGCTATGGGGCAGTTTCTTGGGAAACAAACTGAGTGGACACAAGGCACTGCCCTGGGTGTCCCATAAGATACAAAGGTATGAAAAACACTCCCCCTTTCCCTTTTGGAGTTATCTGTCAAGTTGGAGAAAGAAGCCACACACACAAATATAATAAACAATGTAACCAACCGCAGCAGATGTTACTATAAAGTGGCTAGTGTGGACAACTGCTTGATAATCACAATTAATATTGGTTGATCACTTACTATGTAATGGCACAAATACCGTTGTCTCCTGTCCTCTTCACAGTCACCCTGGGAGGAAGACATGATTCTCCCCCATACATAAAGGACCAAGATTCACTCAATGGATAAATAGCTCTGGGTCTCTGCTTCCATCACCCAGGATACCTACTTCTGTTAGCACTGCCGGTTGCTGTAGGAGTTTAGAGGGAACCCAGATATCTATAGAGTGCAAGAATTGCTATAAAAAAATCTGTCAGTGTACGGGCAGGTGGGAACAGAGCGCTGAGAGTATATCAGATAGTTTAGAGCAGTCAGAAACATTTTATAGCTGTGCATTCATAGCAAGCCAGGAGCAGTGACTGACCAACTTAGCCTAGTAGCCTAGTGGGAGATGCTCTGGGCATCAGAAGCCTCTCTGAGAGCTAGCTACCCAGGACCTGAGTGTGCATAGGAGACCTCGTGGAAGAACTGTGTTCTTAAAATACATCCCGGGTGCTTAGTCCCAGCTGCTCCAGCCTTTAGGACTTTGCAGGGAATTGTCTTCCAGGAAGAGCCCATCTGTTTCCAAAGTTGGGAATACAGAGTCTCAGGGGGTGGGCTGTGACTAGAGAAAACCAGTGAATAGAACAAGCAGCGGCCAGCACTCTGCCCCCTCAACAGCAGGAAGGGGTGGGGGTGGGGAGCTGGGTCCAGTTAGCAGGAGGCCTAGAGGCAGCCGAAGGGGGAGCTTGGGGGGAGGGGAGTTGTATCTGCTTGGTAAACATTAAAGTTCCAATTCACTAGTTAAAGATTGGCTTTTGTGTCCTCACTCCGGCAACTCTAGAATACAAAACAAACTAGCACACTCTTCCAGGCTGCCTCCCACCCCACCCTCAGTCAGCCACACAGACATGCAATGTCCCTGCCACAGAGACTCCTGGACTCGGGTCATTGCAACTCAGGACAGTCATTTCTATGGAAATTCAGTGTGACCTTCTTTGAGTTTACTAGGAAAGATGGTGAAATGGAAAATTAAAAAAAAAAAAGCTCGGTTGAATTTCTAGCATGCTGTCTCAGGGTGTCTCTTCTGTCATTCCCCTTGCCTCTCACCTTCCTCTTCCTTAAATCCTATTTTATCTCTTTCCTCTTTTTCCTTTTTCTCTCTTTATTTTCCACCTATTTCCTTCTCTCCTCCTTCTGAACATTTTCCTCCTCCTTATCATTCTCATTTTCAACCATCCCCC